TTTTTTGGTCTTTTTGAGACAGGGTCTCGATATGTAGTTCAAGCTGGCCTTGAGCTCACCTTGTAGCCCAGGCTGGCCTTGAACTCACAGTGATTCTCCTGCCTCAGCCTCCCGAGTGCTGGGTTTACAGGCATGAGCCCGCACGCCCAGCTTGAGTCTGATTTTGAGACAAGGTTTGACTAAATTGCCCAGGCTAGCACTGGCAAGCCTCAGACCCCCAAGTAGGAAGGATCACCGGCATGTACCACCCGGCCCAATGTAAAAATTATAAATTACAGAGAAAAGACACCTGAATTTCTAGTTACGCTTTTCTGATACCAGTACCCCTCCCTAATTTTATTTTATTTTTTATTTATTTATTTATTTATTTACTTATTTATTTTTTGCCTTTTTGAGACAGGGTCTGGCTATGCAGTTCAGGGTGGCCTTAAGCTCACTTTGTAACCCATGCTGGTCTCGAATTTGCAACAATCCTCCTGCCTTAGCCTCCCAAGTGCTGGGATTAGAGATGTGCGCCACAGGCATGTACCACCATACCTAATCTTATACTGCCTGCTTGAAGGAGCTGCTTTTCCACCCTGCGCTGATCTTGTTTATTTCAGAGGGCAGGAGGCCTGTAGGCCGGAAGTCCCTCTTCAGGTGGCCCAGCCCAAGCTGCCTGGGTCTGAGGCGCCAGCCAGTGTTGCCAGGCCACCTCTAATTTCATCATCCTCCATCCATATCTTCCGCGGCACAGCTGGGTGCAAGGTCCCTGGACAATGGCCATAACAACCGGAAAGAAACTCAAAAAGCAGCAGAAAGGAGTGGCGGCTGCGCCCCGGTTAGAAGGAGGCGGTGGGCCCTGGTGAGGGGAGGCCACACTGAGGGCCTGACCTAAAAGGCTGTGCAGCATCCTCCTCCTCGGCTCCCTTCTCCACTTCTGGGCCGCCCTGATGTGAGCAGCTTTCCTCCACCCAGCCCCTTACCCCAGGCCTTTTCTGCTTGCGCCTGCGGCACATGGACTGAAACTTCTAAACGGCCAGCCACAATGACTCCTCTTGCTTTAGGCTGTGAGGGTCAGGTGTGTGTCCCAGGCACGAGCAAAGTGACAGTGACGATCCCTAACCTCAAGACCATCAGTGGGTTGAGAAATGGGTTTGTGAGTTTCAGCTCTGACTTCTAGTCTCTGGCAAGGAAAACTCTCCTCTGCGATTCAGTCTGTGCTCAGGCTTGTCACTGGTTACACCATCCCAAGAGGGAAAAACAGCCCAGTTTAGAGTCAGAAATTTGAAACAGCTGGGTGGCACACGCCTGTAATCCCAGCACTGGGGAGGCTGAGACAGGAGGATCATTGCGAGTTCAAGGCCAGCCTGAACTGCAAAGCAAGACCCTGTCTCAAAAAGACAAAATAACATAAAATAAAAATGAAAAGGCCTGGGAATGTGGCTCAGTGAAAAGGCCTGTAGGTTTAATCCCCAGTAACACACACACACACACACACACACACTGTAGAGTAACTGCAGCGTCAACTGTTTTTTGTTTCGCTTGTTTTTGTTCATTTGTTGGCAGTGCTTCAGACTAAACCCAGAGCCTTCCTTGCACATGTTAGGTACAAACTAAGTCAGGTAATTTATCACTGAGCTACTGCCCCAGTCCCTAGATGGCTGTGTTTGTTTGTTTTTTGGTTTTGGTTTTTTGAGACAGGACCTTGCTATGTCAGGCCTTAAATGGCCTTGAACTCTCACTGATCCTCTCGCCTCAGCCTCCTGAGTGATGGAATTATAGGCATGCGCCACCACAGCCGGCTCAGGTGTTTTAATACTTACCAATATATAATAAATGAAGATGAGCCCAATAGAAGATTCTGGGATGATACTGAAATACAAAGCACCAGAAAGTCTGTCACCCTACATAGGTGATGACACTATCAGAATGTAATGTAACTGCTATATTTTGTTTTTGTTTTTGAGACAGGGTCTTGCCAAGTGGTCCAGGATGGCCTTGAACTCACAGCAATCCTGCTTCAGCCTCCAGAGTGCTGGGATTACAGGCATGTACCACCATACCTGGCTGGCTCAGGTTTTCTTTTTTTTTTTTCCAGTGCCAGGAATCAAACTCACGACCTCGCGCTTGCCAGGCAGGCGCTGTGCTGCTGAGCTGAATCCCCAGCCCCTCAATATTTTTTTTTTTATAGCAGGAATCAAACTCAGGACCTTGTGCTTATTAGGCAGGCGCTTGTGCTGCTGAGCCCAGGTTTTCAATTTTTTAAAAATTGAAAAATTAAAAATTTTTAAGTAAGAGTCCTAATCCCTCCTTAGGTCTCAGACCCAAAGTGATCCCCATAGAGCAAAAAGAAGGCTGTCATCCACTGCTTTGGGAGATTGCAGGCCTGATCAGTCTGCAATAACTAAGGGATATTATTAAGGCAATAAAAATCTAAAGCAGGTCTCAGCTGGGTGTGGTGGCACATGCCTATAATCCCAGCACTCAGGAGGCTGAGTCAGGAGGATGTTACTGCCTGTAATCCCAGCACTCGGGAGGCTGAAGCAGGAGGATCCTTGCGAATTTGAAACCAGCTTGGACTACAAAGTGAGCTCAAGCCCAGCCTGAACTATATAGCAGGACTCTGTCTCAAAAAGACAAAAAAAAAAAATCAGGTCTCAGTCCAAGGAGGGGGCAGGTCTTTGAAGGCTGCCCTCCTTTGTGATACCATTGGGTGCAGGCCACGGCACCAGGAATGTCTTGTGCCTTGTGGAAATAGCCAGCCATGTGGCCGGATGTCAGAAGGCATGTGCACAGGGGACAGCCTTCTTTTTGCTCTATGGGGATCACTTTGGGTCTGAGACCTAACGAAGGATTATAAATAATCATACACTGAAGTCTTTGCTTAATATAACTGGCACAGTGTGCTATTGATACAGGAAAATAAAGACACCCAACCTGAATGATATCTGGGACGAGTTTGTGTTCTCTAAAATCGAAGAATGAATTTTAGGAACAATGGAGGTTAAGAGCAGAATATATTTATGGAGGGAAAGAAAGCTTCTGTCCAAGAGAGGGACAGAAGGGGGCCCGAGTGGGTTACCCAAGACTCTGTCTTTTCTGGGAACTTTTAGTTGTTTTTTTGTTTGTTTTTGTTTTTTTCCAGTACCGGGAATCAAACTCACGACCTTGCGCTTGCCAGACAGGTGCTGTGCCAGTGAACTAAATCCCCAGCCCCTGGGAACTTTTATAGAGCAAAGCCACAGGGTGAGGTGGGTCCAAGGTAGGGGAAAAATGGACAAAACTATGGTCATCCAGTAAGAATTGTTCAGGTAAAATTGATTAAATTGGGATCAAATGGGGAAGTAAGTCACGTAGCAAGCGGGCATGAATACAGAACAGGGGCTTTTACTGCAAGGGGTTGGGTCAGGGACTCTTCCAGTGACCGCTACCTACTTAGAATATCAATCCCTGATGTGCATCCCTAGGGAGGTATGTGGGTGCATTTGTTTAGTCCTTTGTCTTGAGGTCTGGCCCACAGCAAGTATGTATCTTTCATGTTGGCTCCTTTGAGGGCCTGGCCCTGTCTGACTGCCCGTAATATTTCTATCTAACTCAGCTGCCTATAACACTATCTTGAACCCTGCCCCCTTGTTCCTCCGGCCACTGTCTAACTACCTGCCTAACGTTCCCCCTCCAGAGCTGGGACCCCTGAAATCATTTAGAGTGGCAATGGTGGATCTTTTAGAGCTTTCAACGGTAACAAACAACAGGCTGTGGCATGTGAGCCATAAGTTTGCCACCGCGGATTTAGGGTACTGGAGCACCAAGCCCACTCTGGCTACCTCCCGCTGAGAACAGATGGGATGCAGTTAGGGTACTCACTTGCTGACTGTCTAGACCCAGAGGTTAGGCGAGGGTCCAATATAATGTAAGGCCAGAAGGGTGAAGAACCTTCTGAGGATAGGCTGACTGAAAATGAGAAGAAATAAAGTTCAGGAGCCAGTTTATTACACATGGTGCAAATATAAGGGTTATAAGAACAAAGGCTGTGAGCCAGATGTGGTGGTGCACACCTGTAATCCAGCACTCGGGAGGCTGAGGCAGGAGAATTGTTGTAAGTTTGAGGCCAGCCTGGGCTACAAAATGAGCTCAAGGCCAGCCTGAATTGCATACTGAGACCCTGTCTCAAAAAAGAAAAAAAAGAAAAAAAAAAAAAAAAGAACAGAGGCTG